GGGATCCGCAAGAATCAACAATGATCAACACAACTCAGCCAACCCCACACCAGAGTCAGAGTCATTGGTGAGTTGAAGCAGCATGGCGGATCAAAGGTTCGACTACTCAGAAACAACAGCGGAGAGCAGCTGGGAGCCAGGAGGCGCATTGCAGCTAGAGCAGAAGATTGAAGACTCAGCAAAGGCGAAGAGTTGCAGTGTTCACAAAGGCTTCGACGAGGACGTCGAAGGGATAAGTGGGGGAGAATGTCACGGACAAACTTCTAAACAAGGTGTTTGATGTAATGCTTATGTATGTCCGTGTCTTTTGGCATGTTCATGCCTTGTACAGAATGTAAAGGGGCGGCCGAAGGCTTAATAGTCCCATTTTAGTTGGGTTGGTGGCCTCTTTAGGCTTGTAAATAAAGGTTGTGTCATGTGGACACGTTCGAGAGCTTTTCGGTCTGTAATGGACCATTTTATCCTTTGTTCTGCCACTGTTCAGAGCTTGTAAAGTCTATTTGTAATTTGCATTGTCTATGAAATGTTTTTCGGACATGTCTGCTTGTGGATCCCGATTGAGGCGTTCTTTTTAACCCGTTCTCTCTTTGATTGGTCCTAAGAGACAATGGGAGGCTTCGGGAGGCTGACCTTTGCGGACGGACACGCGAGGGTGCCGCACGACTTAGGCAAAACCAGCTAAGTCCGTGTCAAATAGCCAAACAGATAGAAAAAAAATATTTAAATGGGGAGAAGTCTCGAACAATCAAACCTCATTTAGTGAGTGACAAAGAGCATGCTCCCCCAGTGAAGCATATACAGTAACCACGGTGAGATTTCGCCTGAAGCAACCCTAATTTAAGGAAGCAGCCAATTATATTAGGGGACTCACATTATGTTAGATTTCATGCAACACAGCTTATTGGCCATAATTAAATTCTCCAGGTAAAATTCAAGTATCAGGATATTCATCAAGTGCTCAGCATGCATGACAAGAACATCTACCTGTAGAGCAAGAAACCACTCTGCTCGTGTCTCGCAAAATATCGCGATGTGATCATTCTTTTTTATACCAAGTTGCAGTAGACCAGATGCAATATTGCAGACAGCTTTGAAAGCCTCATCATAACTGATCCATTGATAGTTTCCCAGATGGAGCTTCTCAAAGGATCTCCCATCCTGGCTCACTTCTGTTTCCCTCGATATAAGTTCCCGAGATCCGAGCAGAGGCTTGCATGCAAAGCGTTTGCAAGATTGCTCAAATAGCTCAGCCAGCGTTGAGACACCCTCCCAAAGAGATTCCACAGGAGAAGCGAAACGGTGGTTGCGAACCGCATATCCAGGTTCTCCACCAGCATCAACTAGCAACCCTCGTTTCTTTGTGTCGTTCGACTCCCGTAACATGATTGAAGCAACAAGAAGTGGGACGAAAATTCCAACAATATATGGATTCACTCACTGAAATAGGCAATTACTCTCTCTGTCTGGCCCAATTCTCAACACACAATGCAGAATCTCTCACCAGGAAATCTACCAGAACTCTGAGAACAACAACGACAAATATTACAAGTAATTAGATGGGATTCAATTAAGACGTTTCTTTTAACACATTAAATTTCTCCTATTCACAGCTTAGAATCGCGAAAACATCAATCAAGAAACCACCGAAATGTTGTGTCCTCAACTGGATTCCTCGTTCCCCACCTTCCGTTAGTTTCTCTTCTCCAAAATCGCACTTTTATCATAGGAGAAAATCAAAGAAAACCTCTTTTCATCAATCCACAGAAGCGAACACGATCACGGGAAAAGAAAGTAGCAAAAACCCACGTCAAACCCAAAGGAATCGAGGTTCTCCTTTTTCCAATAGAATTGGACCATCGTATCAAGAAACTAGGAGTCGAGAATCGAGGGGAAGGCGAAAAACGATTGTAGCAGCTGCCGTACCTCGTAGGTCGTAGCGAAGTCCGGAGCCGGAATCGACGCGATTCCGGCCCTCCGAATTCGTAGCGGTGGGAAGAAAAGCCACAGATTTGATCAATGCACCCACGTAACATAATAAATAAGATAATTAGTTGATCATTAGTTGAAATAACTATATAATTATGCGATCTATATCTTGTAATGATACAACGAGCAACTCTCATCAACACTGTTTTCTCATAATGTTGTAATAATAATAATAATACATCATTTATTCCATTTTGTTGAAAGATAGATTCAATAAACTTGTAGTAGATCATTAGATCAATCACATTCAAGGTCAAATAAGGATGAGAGACATAATACATGCAGATGACGTGACTTAGAGATCTGGACGTGTACGGCAAGTTGTACCTGACGACCTTACGTTCTCATGAATTTGGTCAAGACAAGCTATGATGGGAGACTAAGCACTCTTGTTACTTGAGTCAAAAGAAAAGTAGCCACTAATTTATGCAGCCCAATGTTGATTATATTTATTGTTACCATTACTATGTACCACTTTATAATAGTTTATATGTCATTATCTACTACAATTCTAATTTGACTTTGCTAGCAAAATGAAATATATGTGTCTCATGTCAACAATCTTTATTATTTATAAGGTACATTGGAGTAGAATTGAATGAGTCTTTCTTATGACAAGGAAATGATTAAGCAAAGATGATTTTGCTGAAAAATAGAGAACAATTATTATTTTGATTATTTTTAATTCTCTACATCCCTTTTTTTTTGTCACTTGTGGAGTCTTTTCTTCTCCTTGGATTGGTTTAAACTTAATTCGAAGATATATAATTGGCCACCTGAATCTGACCTCAACCGACACAGCTTCCAATCTCAGGTTTCAGTGGCCTTTGCAAAGAATGGCTCATGATAGAGTGCTCACAGCCCCTCCCCTCTCTTCCATCAATGGCAGAACGGAGCTTGGCAGCTCCAGAAGAGTCAGGAGCTGATTCCTTCCTTTAACTTTATTTAAGACAGGTTACAATAATGTAGCCGCTGCATGTACCACAAATTAGGTGAGCACAGTGGCTGCGTCAAATAGGGGCAAGGAGATGAGACAAATGCTTTGGATATCAAAAGTGTTCCTAGGAACTGATGCAGTATCTCTACAGGCAAACACATGAAATAAGTCAGATGAAGAAGACACTTCGAAAGCTGTTTCAAGCTAATAAACGACACTAAAAAGCACAAGCTTTGTGTTTTATCAGCTTGTCCAATTGACATAGTTAATATAATCCACCTGTATATGGGTAACTACAAGGGTAAAGAATGCTTAGAATAAGGGATCATAGAGCAGGGGAATGAAGTCTTTGGGCATTATTTGTCTACAGATCTACTTTAGTTGGTAAGCATAATTTTGATACAAATTACTATGACATTTTAATTACAGCCTTCATAATGAGTTTGTGACAATAACTCATCTCTTCTCAGCTATGTTGTTTGCAGTAAACCTCATTGTCTGAGAACAAAAATCGCAGAATAATACTGCCTGGGTTCTCATAAATTGCAGTGCAGAAATCAATGTTCCAAGGAGCACATAAATGAACAATGAATATAGTACATGCACTTCTAAGATCAAAGCTGGTGTGAGGAACTGCTAACACACATTGATTGCACTAAAAGCTTCTATATATCACAACAAAGCAAGGTAAGATGGCTTTAGGACTGAAAACAAAGAGCTCATCCATATTTGAGTAAGCTCCTGCCACACCAGTGACTGAATCAAACTCCTCAGCAGCTTCTTGGCTCTTCTTCACTCTTCCTGCAATTACCCTGCACACAAGCATTGCCCTGTTCTCATCATCTGATGAAGCATGAGCCATGTCATGTGCCATCCCACTGGTGGCCATCGTTCGTATCTTTCCCAGCTCATCCACTTTAAACCCATCTCGAATAATGCTGCACACGTTGCAGTGTTTGATGGATTGACATAGGCTGGTGGATCTATGGAGGCCGAGGGAGCACGCACAAGTGGTGGAGTAGAATCTTAAGAGTTCATTCCCGTCTGCAACACACCTTGGGTGCTTCTTCCCGAGCTTGTTGGCTTTCATCTTTATGGAGTCTCTGTAGTCCTCGAACCTTGTGATGGCCTTCTGGGTGTTGTGGACCTTCAGTATCCTGTCTATCTTGCAGACTGGAGTTTGATTCTTGAGCCAGCTTGATTGGAAGATGATTTCAATTATGTTTCTGCTTGTGTCTTCAGCACCCAATTCCGATACTATATTGCAGAGAACAGAAGATTCAGATGATTATATCTTGTAAATGATAATGAAGCAGCTGAAAACATGACAAAGTATCTCAGATTGAGAACCAGAAACCGAGTTGCTTATGATGAAGATGGATAATTACCTGCATGGCTAATTGCCTGGTGAAGCTCCAAAGTCTCAGACCTCATGAAGACCTCCCCACAGTCAGGGCAAGGACAGATGGTAGCCCTCATGGAAGCATCCCTTGATGGCCCATTAGTGGGATCAGCCATCACATGACACTCGTAGCACCCGGATAACTTTCTCAGGTGCATTCCTTTGAAAGATCCTCCCAGAGAAGAAGAAGATGATGTAACAGAGGCAGTGATGGAAGCAGATGAATGAGAGGAGAAGGAGGTGGAAATAGCTCCACTGATATCTTTGGAAGGAGACCTGAAGGATCTGCCGGGAGTATTAAGACTGCTGGTCGCAGCCAGTCTCTTGGAAGACTCAGGTGTGGTGATCTCTGGCTTGACAACACTTGGGCTGTTCCTCATTCTACAGAAAGACACAGAGCATGCAGTCTTGTTGGATTTCTTCTTCCCTTGTACATCATTCTGATCTTTACACGAGAGCCAGCGTCTCAGGAACCCCCAGGAGAGTGAGTTCTTGGCCTTCCTTTGAACTTGCATCTTACTCTGTCTGCTTCTGTTGCAGGTCCTACTTCCATTCCTTGTATCTGCCATTGGGAGTGGTGGTGATCTTGTTCCCAAGTCTGTATCCTCTCCTGCTGCTTGAGGCCTGGAGTGTCTTCTCCTTCCTTGGATCAGATGAAATACTTGTGTGATGTGTAAATAGCTACAACAACTATATATAATGCAGGCTTTGTGAAGAAAAGAAGACTAGAATGTAGCAACTGAGACTTGGTGGTCCTCGAAGGAGACTACCAGGAAATGGTGGTCATCGAACATGAGTCATGTTAAGACACCTCTGCTGCAGCAGACCATGTTCTCACTTATTCCTGCAATTAGCATGGGCAGCAACAAGGAATCTCCTGTAAGCTCATCTGTGTCAAACAGTAGACTTCCGTTCCTGCCGATGAAGGATAAAACATCAGTAGATTACCATTCATCAACCAGTCAAACCAGCTCAAAGAAACCGTGACCTTTCATCTGACAAAAGCAGATAGCTAATATGAACAGAGTCATAAATCACAAGCTGTTTTAGAGCTTCATTTTCTCTCTCTTTGCTGATTTTTTGTACTGCAATCCCAATGATGATGATGAAGATGAAGATGAATGGCTTAAAATACTTCATTCGGTGGAGGGGAGATGGGAGGGGCCCCTAAGCCAGCTGCCTCCTTGACGCAGGTCCATTAACATTATGCATCGAAGGACACAACACTATCTGAAACAGCTTCAAAGAACCTGATCCTATTTATTGTACACATGCATGTGGATGCGAAGGTGATCACAGAGGTAGGTGACAAACACCACCTGTACAAATTCACTGGATAAAGGTCAGGAGGTCATGCATCTGATATGGCCTTATTCAATGGGGGAACGCATCGAGGGCATGACAATAAATGCAACAGCGCTCGGAACATGAAAACTCATCAGCCATGGACAAACGAGCCACCAAAACCTTTGCCTACATTCTCGGCGTTCCACGTCGCTTTGTCGATGAATTGTCGTCGACGAAGACCGCAAGAACCTTCATTGGCTCCCCGAAGAAGATGAGAACACGAGAGACGTCAAAGGTAGCTGATCATTAGAAGCACGTCATGCATACTTGCAGATGATCAAAAGGATTGGTTGGGAACATCATGAGATTAAATTGACAGAAATGTGTCTACAAAAAGATCTAAAAGGACTCTTGGATCATCTTTTTGAATTGGAAGCAAGAACATTACTGGGCGCAACAGGCCACAACATGGTCGGCTCATGGGCTTCCTTAACAAAGTTGCTTGGGCTGGCAAGAAGTTCTACTTCATGTCCTCCGTTGTCTTTGATGTTTGGTTTATATTATTAATTTTCTGTTGATATTAAATTCACTAACTTTGATTTAAATTGCGTAGATTTAAACACGCAGTGAGGTCATTCGATTAATCGGTTCCGGACTCATAGTAAATTCTCTACCCGTATCTAATAGGATTTAATTGGGTTCGATCAATGAAATCTTTGTCCAATTTAACGGATCGGGTCGATGTGGTTGAAAAGATCCGACCCGTTTACTGTCCTGGCATCTTCTCGGTGGTCGGGCTTCGCACAGACGTTGACGACTCTGCGAACCGCCATATTTGACCCCGAAGCAGCGGGATTTGTGACGCCCGAGTTACCCACCCACGGCATCCTCCTCGATTCGTACGCGTGGCCACAAGGAACCCTCTGTCGCCGTGCTTCGTCTCTCGACGTTGAGTGCCGCAGTGAGGCCGGAGGCCGGCGTCGCCGACGCTCCCACGCCGGTGGTGCATCCTCTTCCGCTTCCTCCGAGTACGTGGTCTTTCTAATGTTTTCCTTCCTATTTCTTTCGTAGAGAAACCCTCTTTTTTCTGATTTCGAAATGGATTAGTGCCTTTGCCTTTTTGGATTGAGATAGCTCGTAGTAATTTTTCCTTTAGAACAAAAGAAAAGGAAAGAAATTACGACTCTCGTTTATATTGCTGCAAATTTGGTATTCTTCCCCTTAAAGAAAATCGATCAGAAACTTTCTGGTTCATGTGATCTATTGGGAGTAAAATTAGCCCAAAAGATTGTGCTTGTATGCGCGAATGTCGTTGCGAATCACCGACTCATGTAATTTGGATCTCTTTGATGTGTTTTTACATTCAGTTCGTCGTCAACCTATTTCGAATATTTGAAGTAGTCGGTGGGTCGGTGGGCCCTCAAATTGTTGCGAAGTCTCCGCCACAGTGCCCTATGCGTGTCCTTTTCCGTCCAAATCTATCATCACCATGGTTACTTCGGGCTATTATTTTAATCCAGTGAGGCCAAGATTCCACCGAATCGATGTGCAAGCGATAATTGACCTCAATATTTCTTTTGCATCCTGATTGATGCATATTTTACCTCAATACATACGTAGCTTGATTGATGCCTTTCACTTGCTTCACCATCGCAAATCTCTTACCGATCTTATCTGATTAAAAAAGAATTGCACAGTTTTGTTTGTTTCAGGAATTTTATCCTCTCAACAAGATGATTATGTTTGGATCCTTGCGTGCTCCCGATCACAGAGCTGTAGATCAGTGTTCAATTTACCCATTTTAATTTCGCCGCCGTGCAATCTTTATGTCTTCATGTGGCTGCAACCACTGCATGGTTTAGTTCTATATTAGTATCTTATACTTTGGTCTCCCATGTCATTGTCTGATGGCATCAGATGAGGCTCACAGGCCACAACACTAACAAAGTCCATTTCCTTCCACTTTTTTTGTATGACCACAACTCATAACAAAGTCCATTTCCCTTCACACTTTTGGTGTACCTTATCAATATGATCTCCAACTGTATGCCTCAATATATAACTTTTCTTTCTAAGCAAAAGTAGTTTTTTTTGCAGACATGGAACGGGAGCATAACAGGATGCACGGGACTTCACGAAGGGATGCTGTTAGTGAGAGTAGCAGCCCTACCGCAAGATCGCTCGGTGTCTTCCTGAGCTTAGATTCATCTAGTCAGAGGATTTTCATGAGGACAGCATCGTTGGGCAGGATCGGCGGCACGGGTTACTGGCAGCTTGGCTCTATCAGGCCCAACCTTATAGTTGAAGGAATTCCTGCTGACACCACTAGGCCGGCAGCAGCTGGTGATAATCAAGCAATTGGTGCAGAGATGGCTGGAAATGGTCTTAAACAAGGTTCACTAAGCAGAATGAGTAGTAGGGATTCTTGGCCGAGGGGTTCAATTAGTTTTTCTAGTGATCGTGGAACTATCGATAATCTGGCACTTCCACAGGAACTAATAGATAAGATAGATAGTTCACTTGCACAAGTAGGATGCAGAGGGAGTCGAGTGGATGATAAAGAACATGAGGATGGAGTTGTGACATTTGCCGACGATTCTCTAATACTATCATTTAATTCCCGGTCATATGAAGCAAACTTGCCATCAGTTGTGACTCCATTAACTGAGGAAATTGTGTCTCCTCTTCCAACTGATTCCATCTTGTCTACAACGGGAAAGGGTCAAATGACAGGTATTGCTTCACCAAAGGTGAGCTTCATGAATGATTAGATTTTAATTTAGAAGGGAGAAAAATACTTTCCTGATATTTTATGTTTTTTTGCAGGATAAGCAATACAAGCTACCATTTTGGCTGGACTATATTTCTTACTTGAGTCATTTGGCTGTCTTTGGAATTCTTGGGGTAAAACTTTTGAAATCTTTTCTACTGTCTACCAAGAGTGTATGGCACAATTTGGTAACTGAGTCTAGGATTTTGTCATAGTTCCATTATCTAATATAATCTTTGTCTGCACTTATTCTTTGATTATTCTATTTCCTTTTTCTGTTATTCCATTATCTGTTTAGTGAAATTTCTTGGCTACAAATACATTATTCATCTCAAAAAAATTTCTCTTCTTGTAGCATGCATTAAGCCAGTTGATGACTGTAAAGATTTAACATATGATAAATCCTTGCTTTTTTTTGTTAAATTAGACTGATATTTTGTTGTTTGAATATACAGAGCAAAAGAATTTCTTTCTGACAAAGTTAATAGGAACTAAAATGGAAAAGATTTGCATATGCTGTTCAAATCCAAATGAAAATGGAAGATACTGCATTGATCATTTTATGAAGGTTGTGCAAAGGAATTGACTATTGTGAGAAATTGTTAAGATAAAGTAGTTTATGCTTGATGAGCCGTAGTATCTCTAAATCTCAGCATGAACTTGTGTTTTTCCGTGCAACTTCCTTCCTAGACCAGTTTTCTTTGGTGGGATTAATCTAGGGGACTTCATTATTAAGTTAATCTCCTCGGCCTGTAGTTAATTTATATACAAGTGGATTCACTTTTTAATTATGGGAAAGGAATTGCTTACTTTTGCTTGGACATTAAGGACTCATTTGAGATGAAAAGATTCAAATTCAAAACAATTACCCAGGAACATCAAAATGAAGAGCTTAGGAAACTAAGTTGACTTCTTAGGTTTTTTTTTGGATTCAGAAAACAAATACAAGAATGTTTTGAATTGAGAGACATGATTAAAAATATATATACAGAGCCAAAACCAATCCGTTGTAATGATAGAAGAAGTGTGTGATTGTGCATGTTAATTTTTCTCTATTGCTATATCTGTCAATAAAGAAAAACTTTAGACCTTCTGAAGAAAATTTTGGGCATTTAATTTTTCAACTTTCTTGCTTCTTGAAGTTGTATTTGATTGCTAAACAATGGAAAAGAATATTTGTTGTGGATAAAAGTTAACATAGTTGTGAGCAAATGATACTTTTCTGGAAACGTAAGAATGGGTGCTGTCTGATGTTATTTGAAAGGCTTCTGTGCCACATATTTTGTTCTCCTCTACAATAGATTGGTTTGACAGATGTCACTTTTCTAAGTAATGATGTCACATATTCCATTTTTTTAAATAATTTGTTGATCTTGTAATAGTATTGAAAGGAGTGAAACAAAATTGGACTTTGCTACTATCCGCTAGATGATGAAAAATATTATTATGACACAGGAGTAAGCTTTTAGCATTCTCTTATCTTTCTGATGTTCTCTTGTCATAGACTGTTTAGAGTTAGTATAGTACTATTACTCCATTTAAGAACGACGTAATTACTGATAGAAGGGGAGAAATGATACTGTAAAGCTAGTCATCAATGATCATATATATGATATAGCCGAAATGAATAAATTAGGCCTCCTGTTCTTTTAACAAATTAAGCTACTGAAGCAGCTCAAGGGGAGTAGAGAGTTGGAATATCCATCAAAGTGTTCTACCATGATTTGTTTAGGGGAAAACTTTCATCCTGAAGCCACAGGAATCACTTCTTGTATCTGTTATGAAGAATTATTGACAATGTTAACACACTGTATCTATCAAAATTAGTACATGCTTTCTTCTCTGTTTAATTTTCTGTTGATGCAACAAGAATTAAGCGAATGGCCCTTCAACATACAGGTGTATACAAGATACTTACTGCAGAAGCTCTTTGGTCCTGGCCTCTTGCGTCTCACAGGGGATAACCCATTGTACCTTGATCTTCCCTCCAATATGGTTCTTTCTTTTCTTTCTTCATGTTTGACAAGGTAAAGTTTGCGTCTCCATTCACTGATGCAATTCATAATGTGCTTTCTAACAGATAGGTTCCTTCCTGATGGGGTGGATTGGATTTGTCTTCAAGGCTGACATCCTCCATGTATCTGAACATTTGCTGGTAGGATTAAGTACAGGGTACTTGGGCAGTCTCACCACATTCAGTGGGTGGAACCAGAAGATGCTCGAATCGTCTTCCAAGGGCCATTGGGTGTATACTGTTGCTGGCCTGATACTTGGTGAGATAACAAAGTTTGAAGATAGGTTAGCTTAGAATTTGTGGAGGATTTATTTGAATCACTTGGACAGTTTTTGTTCTTAATCTTTCTACCCATCTATAGGGACTTTCCTTGTCAACTATAGTATCATTGTTGGGGTTGGATGTGCTGGAGGACTCCGCAGAATCATTATTGATTGGTGTGAGAAGAGAACAACCAACCTGGAAAAATGGAGGGTGGATAACCGCAATAAGCATGTGGTTGTAATGGCTGCTTTTCTACTGATATGGTGCTTGTTATGGACTCTGAGTGGAGAATTCTTTAGGGTCAAGTTGAACAGAGTCAGTAATTCTGCTGTTCTTTGGCTTGCTTTCTTGGTGGGTCCCCCGGGTGTGTGGCTCCGCTGGCGCTTGGCTAGGTTTAATGGACAAGGTATAGGGAGCAAGCGAATGCTCAAATGGCTACCAATCGGAACTCTTTCGGCCAATGTACTTGCAGCAGGCATTATGGCTGCAGTTGCTATCATAAGCAAAGCGGTAAGCATCTGGTGCAAAACTCAGGATCAATCTTGAACTTATATTTTGCCATACTTCACTAATATTACTTTGTATTGACAATTGAGAAACAAATTGCACCTGCTAGGGTTTGTAGGGGAGTTGCTTCATGCAAATTTTTTATGTTGTCATAATTTAGGGTCTAATAGATCCCCACACAATGACAAGGAAGACTCATACACAATCACAGATCTGCATGCGCACACATACATGCATCTGTACACAATTTTTTAGGTTTCCTTTTAGCAAGCAAATGTGGTTTTTTGTTGTCTTTATTGTGTGCGGGTGGTTTTTTGCATTGATTAATTTCTTGTTTTGTTCAGGTAAACACAAAGAGATGCTCAATCATTGTCAGTGGATTTCAACTAGGCTTTCTCGGCTGCTTGAGCACAGTCTCAACTTTTGCTGCTGAGATATATGGTATGTGGAAGACTGGGCATGGCTGGAGGGCCTTCTTCTACATCATTGTCACCATCGTTCCATCATTTGCACTGGGAACTCTTGTATACTCGGTGCCTATATGGTTTAAGCATTATGAATCATAATTCATAATTCAATTTCAGGTTGAAAAATGGCTATAGCTGCTTGTCTTGATATAAAGAGTAAGAAGGCTTGACTTATTCTATCAGTTCATACTAAAGAATAACAAGGCTGACTTGATATAACCTGAGCTTTATGGAATTGGATTCAGGAGACAGCCTATCTATTCTACAGTACTGGAGTATCTTGCACCAGTGGTCCCTCAGATCTCATAAGGAGGGAGCCTCATGCACTGTGACACCCTTTTCTTTTGCTTGAAAGGTGGATGAAATATCACATAACAACACAACAATCTTTGATCTTTCTGTAAGTATACTCTGGCTGTATCAAATTCTGGGATTGCTTCAATTCAACCAATTATACTTCCGTATGTGGGGATCAGTAAATTCCATCTTTTACAGCCACATGAACTGTTATACTTTTTGATTTATTTTTTGTTATATCATCATTTCTTATGTCCCACATATGCTTCAATTTTTCCTTGCCAGATGGTCTATTGGCATTGTATTTTATTTTTCTGGATTACAGATCCTAATTGCTTTTTTACAAAAAAATTGTGTGGTTGGGAGAGATTTCAGGCATGATAATTCTAATGATGAAAATTTCATTTAAAACTAACATAAAATCATATTATTAAACCATTAAGAATTATCTTCAAAATGTTGTTTATTAGAATTAAACAAATTTTGATATTTAAGGTTTTGTTCAAAGTGATGGTGTAGCCATTTAAGACACTTATATTTCTATACGAAGCTGTCCTTTCCCTTAGTGATGTGTGTCCTTCCCATCATCCAATCTAGTGAACAAGATATGCCTGCATTGAATGAGATATAGTTCTTTTCTAGGTCACAACTTCAATGTATATTATATTATTACCTGATATATATCATATTAGAAGAAGCAATTAATAGAGACCACATACCACATGGATGCTTCTCAGTCACTCTTGCAAAGTACTTTCAAGCACACCATCCAAAATAAAGGGTAAGAATGAAGCTAAACTCTCAACTCCATAGCACTTCGAACAACACAAGTTCCATAGCTGTCTTCTCGTTTGGGAAAATGGGGAGAGAGACAGATCGAGCAGATGAGTAAATGCGCGCTCAGATCTCTGAGAGCTTGACAGCTCAAAGAAAGAGAACAAAGTAATATTACTCGAGTGAATGAGCCACGGAGTCTTCTCTTCATTTTGCAGCCTCTGATGTCTCCTCATTATTAACTGTACCGGCAAGAGTTCTTTAGGGAGACTGGAGTGCTGAGCTTGGTCTGGTCCATGGTGACTGAGCACTGCACGTTGCTGTAGAACTTGGGCTTGACGAGCTTTCCCAGCACATAAGCTCGTGATCTGACCGTGAAGCCGAGGGTCATCCCCACGGGCCCGCTCGTCTTCCCCTCCGAGCTGCTAAGGCTTGAACCACCGCCGTAGAGAGGAACCTGGTGCCCTTTCACCACCACTCTGAGGTCCCTCTTGCTCTTCCTTGATTGGTAGAAGTCGTTCATCTACAGTAAGAATCAGTATCATCATATTACCAAGTCATATGTTGAGAGGAAATGTAGACACAAGTGAGATGGGTGGTGATGGAGATACGTTTCCGGAAGCCAATGTGAGTTGGTAGTAGTTGAGATCTATGGGGGTGGAGGTCACGTGGACGCCGAAGAAGCTGCCGGTGTTACGGTACGTGAACTTGAGGGTCGAGTTCAGGGTGGCCATGTCGGTCGGCACCAGCGACGCGTCGGTGCCGGCTTGGATGATGAAGTTGTCGAATGTGATGCTCTGCAACGAGCGAGGAATCAGCCATGCATCGTTAGAAGGAGAGCGGACCCGATGAGGAGGCGGCGGCGGTCACCTTCATGATGATACGAGGCCTTTGGTTGCGGCTCGCGCCCCAAAGAATCAAGGCGAAGAAGGAGAAGAGGAGGAAGAAGGCGAGGACGAAGCCGAGGATGTAACACCTACGAGGAACGCCCGCGTCGTCCTCCTCGCCGTCAAGCAGTCCCTCCTCCTCGATCACCGCGCATTCCTTCCACGTCTTGCCGCCTCGACGGCGACTGCCCCTTCCGCCCCCGTCGTGGGGCGAGATCTTCCTGGCCCCGGCCGGCTTCAGCGATCCCGAGAACCGGCTCGAGGACGACTCCCGGGAATGGCGGCCGACGGAGGAGTGGGAGCGTGGCGGGGACAGCGCCGGGCTGGAGTTGAAGGACGTCGTCGTCGTCGTCGTCTTCTCGCCGTCGTGGGAGTCGCGCGACGGGCTCTGCACGTAGTAAACCGGCCGAGCCGGGGACGACGTGGCGTTGCTCGTCACCTCGGAGTCGGTCTTCGCGTCCATCTCGTGGCTTGGCATATCTGCAGCGACCGCCTGCTTCTGTCCGCTGCCTTGCTTGGATCTCTTCCCGCTGCGACACTGGGTGTGGTTTAATATCAGTCTTGATGACAATACATATATATAGAGAGAGAAAGAGAGAGCAATATTTTTCTCTTATTATTTATAGCCATTGTTTTTGGATCTGAGGTTAATGGGGGAAGCAAGCATTGACATCCCACGTTCTCTTGTGACACTTTTCTGCAACGAGTTCAGAATAATCAATCATCTTTCTTTTTCCCCGTTGTGCTGAAGGAATTGTCTTCTTTTATTCTTCTCTCGTGATATATATAGATTTTGTTCCATATATAAGGAACGGGTGGGCCCAAGGGGTCCGGGGTCCACGGATCACTGGTGAGTTACTAAATGCTGTGACCACGTTACGTGGAGTCCATGCCCCGTTCTGTGGCTGTTCGTTTCTCCTACAATAATACACATCAAATGTGATCACGTTACGACTGCTGTTACGAGAATGGTGTCCGTAGGACCGGGATTGAAGCTTCCGAGAACCACTGATGCCGACCACACCAGAAGTACCCAGATTGGTTCCACGTGTCCACATAGACAGAGAGAAGAGAGGATTTCATTGCCCATGGGGAACATGTGATGGCATCAAGTAGCAGAACGCTTTGGCTGATTGCCACCGAGTAATGCGAGATCTATCCAAGTGGTCGTCGGAGAAGATGGAAGAAGCAAAGAAACCTCGTTACTTCTCTGCCTTCACCTTCTTCGGTCTCTCTCACATAGGTCTTGCTCGCCACTTCACTTCGAGTGCACGATTTGGCCATCCCTCCCTACCACCAAATGGCGCTGCTCCAAACAAAATCAACAGCTTCCACCATCGATGGATCGTCCAGTTCTGACATTCTCTAGCTGTCTGCTAGAGTCCCATGATTAAGTCTTGCTTGCTTTGTAATCACTAGCTCTGGCAGCATCACTCCATGGCTGTGTATGCTTCAATGTTCATCCATGTGTTTCTGGCAAACTGGGTGAACCATACGTGGTCGGGATATAGATGATCTCACTGTAAAGACAAAGCCTTTGCACCAATTAGCTTAGCTTACAAGTGTAAACATCACGCCCTCGATCATAACTGGCCACTTTCAGTGGCGGTGACCAATGTCTATGCTTCGTAAACCTATTACAACATCAAAAATTGAAAGAGAGAGCAAATTTGCTGATAAGACATCTTGAGACGTGTTTCCAATATTAAATTCGTGTCAACTTTATTATCAGATTAACAATGTAAGGTAGTTTCTGAGATACTAAACGATAACGAATTCCTCGTCACCCATGCAAAAGAGTTGCAGAGTATAGCTCACAGCAAGATTGCTGCTTCAGGTAACCTACACACTGCATCAAAAAAAACCATGAAAGCCAGAACGTAGCATCATATGGTCACATTACTGCGTCATCAAAGCCAACGACCAGAAATGTCAACATGGACTAACTTAAAAGAACAATTTATTATACCGTTGCGATTGATGTCTCGGAAGAATAGTTCATGTGAGCAATATGTTAATCGATATAAGCTTGAACTTGACAAAATTGTCCAAAAGCAGGAAAAAGAACGATCTAAGTAGAACTGCTGCGTGAGTATAAGCAGAGCAAGGTAAGCCAGAAAGACTGGATCTACTCCATTGACGATGTTGCACCTGCTCCATAACCACCACGACCACGGCCAAAGCCAGCCCTACCTTCAGTACCCTGCAAGTTCCAAAACATGATACAATCAAATTAAATATGTCATCATATATTCAAGTTCAAGCACCAATTATAAGCATTAAAACATAAAACATGCTGGTGATCAATGACCCAACTGTGTTCTTGGATTAGGCCACCAGAAAAATCTGGCATTTAGAAAATGATGCAAAAAGGAAAAGAAAGTCAAAACCAGTGAACAGTGATACTAATCAGCCAAATTGTGAACTCTCATGTTACCGACAAGGTGGTGTATCATATCCGATAAAAGCTCAATCCAAATTATATTAAACAACTCTACCACACACTCATTGCCCACCTCACGACGGTCTCCTCATGATACAACTGCACCTGATGAATTCAAAACCATCATATCCAAAAGTGCTGTTCAGGTAAGTTGCTGATTTTATTTGCCACACTAATAATCCTCCTATCTATATTCAACCGATCTCTGCTTGGTACTGCCCCATAGACCAACTTAGCATCACTGACCCTGTTGAGGGCTCCAGATACCTTCCAACACACCACCCTCTAAGTGCTAACATCAGCCTCCCTCCTTTATGGCTTACTTATGGTCCAGTTGGTGACCTTTTTTTTGTAGAACCAGGAAAACTGATCAAAAGCATATCAAACTTCATGACTGCCAACAAGCAGAAAGAATAATGCCAGACCCTCTCCTTTTTCCTTTCTATCTCCCCACAAGCATAAAAAAATGAATTGATTAATAATGAGATGAAAGAAATGAATAAAGAGAAGGATCTATCTCCTCTGTCTAACAAATCATCAAAATTAGCCAGTGGGAGGTGCTGACATCAGGTCAAACATATTTGTTATTCAGTACCACAGATATTCCAAATGAGGTGAAAAACTGCTTTTACTTTCAGAATGCTCAATCAAGGGGGGTATAGGTAATAAAAACAGTGTAGCAATCAAGCATGAGACATACTTTAATCATAAGATGCAACAACCAGTACAAGTGGTTATGGTGCATCTCCTACCAGCTAGACAATGGATGATCAATAGGCCTTAAGTGCAAAATCTGATGTTGAATGTTGATCTTAAAATAAGCCAACTGATATTTTTAAGCAAAATCAATCTGCCACTAACTTCCTAAATACTATTGGTATAACACTATAACCACCAAAAGCTTCTTGTCATGTTGCTGTGCAACTTCAATGAAAAATCAGCTTTTATCTTTGCAAAAATGTATTTCATCAGAAACAAGTGTTCAAGCATTGACAAATAAAAGTTCAGGAAACATAAAATCAAATTGATATGAAACGAACAAGAACTTCAGCAAAAAACATTTTGAAGTCCAACTATAAGTCAGTTGATATCTGTACTTGCATAGGATACTCTGAAAAGTGATGGCTTCAATCATGAAGCAAACCTGGGAAATAGCACTATTAAGAGAACCATAATGACAAAACATTGAAGAAAATATTGGTGCAATAACTGCAACCAGTACACAACACAGTTATCAACCCTCAGATTTTCCAAAAGCTGCTTAAGATAGAAGTTGTACAGTTAATATATAAGCCATCAGAGATGGGAGTTGCATCGTCCTGGACACTAATGAAAGCATCTCAGATGACCGTCATGAGATTTAAAGATCCACACTCATCATTTAGCTTCATACTTCATAAATTTTTACCCAAGAATATACAGAAATAATTTTGATTACGAATATCACAACTAAAAGGGAAACCACACAAGATGTTGCGGAAAAGATAAAAATGAAAACTTAGTATCATCCGTTTTTTATCATAGACAGAACAACTACAGATTCCAGATGACAAACACGATACTTAGTATCGTCCGTTTTTTACAATTTCAATTCTGTCAACCATTTATTTCTTTTGCTTCATCAAAACTTTTGGAATGAGTGTTGAATTGGCAGAACATACTATTGAGCATAAAAGACATGTAAACCCAAGTTATTCAATATTTGGGTCCACGTTAGTTTCTTCACACAGACCATAAAAGAATAACATGTTCACAACACTCATAGATGAAGGTATAGGTTCTTTTTTGTTTCCTCAAAGCATTGCAGAAAAAGAGATCTACCAACAGCAAAGCATAGAATGCAACATTAAAAATATATATACTAACAGAACGTCATCCATAATATGTCAAAATAGGATAAACTAATTAAGATCGTGAGACACAATCTGCAAAAAGTATATTCAATTATCATCTGCAAGCATACAATAGATAAAAGATTGCTCACCCTGAATGATGGCTGAAACTCAGGAGGAGCGCCACCCTTGTCACCACCGAAATCACCTGGAGGGCCTCCTCGAGGGCCTCCACGGTACCCATCCCTATCGCCAAACCTCGGCCGGTCACCTTCAAAGCGAGGTGGACCCCTAACCACCATTCTTATTGTTTCAGAATCTACTATATCCATAAACCCGCAAAATAACAGTAGAATCGTTTCACATTGCAAGAAAAAATTGTACCTTGGGCGATCACCAGGAGGGCCAGAACCAAAGGGTCGGGGCGGCGGCCTGGAGGACTTCTTCAGAGTCGCGGGGACGATCTCGGACGGGAGGTTGAGGTAGGTGCGGAGGTACTCAATCCCATCGTTGGTTAGGTACCAATAGTAGTGCTGCCACGCGAAGGTTTCCCTCACGTACTCTCTCGACTTGAAGCTCTGCATCAGCTTTATCACCTGCAGGTTCGGCACCTCGATCTCCGGGTGCTTGGCGAGGTTGTAGTCCTTCTTCGCGAACAGCACCCCCTCTACATCCCAACAAACCCAATCCAAACACAAATCAGCAACCATCAAAACACTAACTGAGACAGCATTCAGATGAATCAGGACAAATGCGAACCTTGGAAGAGGTACTTGCAGATTTCATGGCGATTCTTCTGGGGGATGATCTGAGAAAGGGGATTCAAGTAAAAAAAGAAGACGAGATTAGATGAAGAATGAGAAGAAATCGATGGAAAGCAGAATCGATTCTCGCATTGTCATTCATACCATAGTGGTACGGGGAAAAAGAGATCTGCCGCAGGGGATTTGGAGCGCGGGAGCATAACAGACGACGAAACCCTAACCTTTCATCCACAACGAGTTTATAATAGGAAGGGTAGACAGTTTTGGGCCGTTGATAATCTTCGGATCATGCGGCTCAGATTGAGCGGGTTGAACCGTCTTTGCATTCCATATTTGATTAAATTTTTTTTTAATTTTTAATTTTTATTTTACAACTATCAAAGACTTTACTGACGAAACTAATTGACACATTCGATAAATAATATTATAAAGATTTAACCTCAAGTTTGAATAAACCAATGGATCAAACCCTCCGATCGTAGATTGAATATAAAATATTTAAAGATAAACTATATATCATATTTAAAAGGATTAAAAAAATTATAA